ACGTCAAATCTAATTAGTCAAAATCTAAAGCTAATAAAATTCTCCATGAACCGATAGGACCGATAGTTTCTGACAAATTAATTAATCATTCCAGTTTTTTAATTTTTTTAATGACAAAAAATTTTAAAAATCAAACTTTAAAAGAAAAAAATTAAAAAAATAACAGAAATGTTTGCATTTGTACTAAGGCATGTTCTGTTACAAAACAAAATCAAGTTACTGATGAAGAAAATCGATGGATAAAAAGAAATAATGAGTGGTCAAATGAAAATGCGCAAGGGGTTTACCTCTCTTTTATTAGCTCGGGATGTAACTATGTAATATTGATGCGCCTAAAAGATGCAGCGATTTCTATTCTCAAGTTACATACTTTATGACAGTACGAATAAAAATACAATAGCGAGGTTTTAGTTTTTTAAACTATAATTTTATTTATTTTTTTGAAATATGAGCAGAAAATGATTTTACTCAGTTGTACGTGGCGTATGCGTAACTTCCTTTCCTGCTCATTTTTCATACAAAAAAACTTTTGCGTATTTTCATTTGACCACTCATTATTTCTTATTTATCGGTCGATTTTCGTCATTAGTAATTTGTTTTTTTTTTTGTTTTTGTAACAGAACAGGCTTTAGCACAAATGCAAAAATTTGGCACAGAACCTGTTATTTTTTAAATTTTTCTTCTGTTAAAAACTAAAAACAGCTGGAATGGTTAATTAATTTTTCAGAAACTATAAGACCTATCGGAAAGTGATGTATATACGCTATATAGAGAATTTCATTAGCTTTCATTTATATTAAGATTGTTAAATTGGTTCGTAAGATATAAGTGATTAAAAGGAACCAATTTTTGCTTTAAGCTGAATAACAGTAAATTGAAAATATCTCGAAAACGTATCCATAGTAAAAAATTAACTCGATTTTCGGAATCAGCGAGAAATTCTACATAGGAATTGGATAGTGGTATACATAGACCATTTTTGCTGTAAACCAGTGTAGTCAATTATTTTTTGCCTCCTTCCATTTTCAATTCACTTTTTTTAGTTTTTATATTATTCTCACTTTTCGTTTATTCCTTAATTTCCGTTAATTTAAATTCAGTTGAGTTTGACACTTTTCGAGATTTTGCCAGCAAAAATTCTTCTGACTAAATCTTACTAGTTCGGACTGAAAAGAGTCACAGTTGCTCTCTCATTTCCGCTGCCATTTTCAAGTTAAGAAACGCTTTTTGGACTAAATCTGACTACTTTGAACTATTCCTGGGAGATAAGGAACGCAACTAATAATTAAAGGTTAGATAACCTGAGAGTTGTCTCTCTCGCACCGCTCCCTTAGTAGTGGCGCTGTGGTGCTTCTTTACTTTACTTGAAAAAGTATAGCTAATTCGTGAAATAGAAGTATATGGCTTTGTGCAATATGTTTATTAGTATTGGCATATATGTACATTTAACTGATGAAAACATAAATTTTTTGTCAATTTTTATGTTCGCGTATTCATATTTATTTCAATAGTGTTAATAAGTAGGCTGCTGCCATGACTTCTACCGTTTAAGCATTGTTGTTTTTTACATTTTTTCTAACAAACAAATCGTGGTACAAGGTTCTATAACACTATTGAAAGAAAACATAAATTGTTCTTAAAGTTGATGTTTACACACAACTCATAGTAATTTTGTTTTAATTTAGAGCACTTTTGCAGTTTTTATACAGCTAAATAGCACATAAATTACATAATTCACGGAAGTTTCTCAATGTTTCGTTCAATATTTCGTTTAAAATGCTAAATTTCCTGCAAATACATTAAAATAGAATATATATTTATTTAAATCTTAAAACTTAATCTAATTCTAAGAATTTTAAATCCTTGTTATAATATAAGTTTTACAGACTGTAAAAATAAATAAACAAAATAAAATAAAATGTAGAAAAGGAATTTCACGACCCTTTCTCTCTCCTTCGTAAATACAACCTTTTGTAAGGGAGAGTCAAACCGCGGTTGTCAATCCCCCCTATTATAAATTCGTACGATGCACACGATAAACGCTTGCATTCGGTTATTCTGCATTACGAATCGATGTTGTGGTAGGACAATACATCTGTCGGGCGTATGAAAACGATAATACGAGAACTAATCTCATACGATACGATTGCAACTATTTATCGTCTATCGTATGAAAATTCATAATTAATTAATTATTAAACCTTTAATTATTTATATTATTATTATTATTATTTTGATTTTAGTTTTGACGGGTGTGCTGTCAAATGAGTAAACGCAAAAACAAAATACATGTAAGGAGAAGAAATCACCTGATCAAACAACACCACCTTGTATGAATTCGCCTTGATCCAAAGCGTATTTAACAAGGTGGTGTTGGGGCGACAGTTGAACTTTTCGCCGTGAAAAGCATTACGTCAAAACAATGTGTTTGTTGTAATTCATACTAATGACAGTATGGCTGACTTCCAAAACGTCAATGGCTTTGCATACCTACAAACTATAATGTTCTATAACGCCGAAGTGCAAAATATTGACAATGTATACCAAAACGCATCCGAAAAGTTATCGAAACGCATCGCTAGTGCAATCAGCGCATCAGAAACAAAGTTGGTGCTTCGTTTGTTATTGGTTACCGTTGGTGTTTTAAAAATGGAAAATGCAGAAAAATTGTTCATTGCTATATTGAATATTTAAAATATGCAATGTATATAGTTGCAATGTGTCGCAACTCTGCATATACAAACAGTTTGAATATCGGAGGATAAAAGTAACCATTGGATATGTTTTGGAAGTCAGCCTATGTTAGTGTAATTTTTACTTATAACGGGTGATTTTTTAAGAGCTTGATAACTTTTTTTTTAAAAAAAACGCATAAAATTTGAAAAATCTCATCGGTTCTTTATTTGAAACGTTAGATTGGTCCATGACATTTACTTTTTGAGGATAATTTCATTTAAATGTTGACCGCGGCTGCGTCTTAGGTGGTCCATTCGGAAAGTCCAATTTTGGGCAACTTTTTCGAGCATTTCGGCCGGAATAGCCCGAATTTCTTCGGAAATGTTGTCTTCCAAAGCTGGAATAGTTGCTGGCTTATTTCTGTAGACTTTAGACTTGACGTAGCCCCACAAAAAATAGTCTAAAGGCGTCAAATCGCATGATCTTGGTGGCCAACTTACCGGTCCATTTCTTGAGATGAATTGTTCTCCGAAGTTTTCCCTCAAAATGGCCATAGAATCGCGAGCTGTGTGGCATGTAGCGCCATCTTGTTGAAACCACATGTCAACCAAGTTCAGTTCTTCCATTTTTGGCAACAAAAAGTTTGTTAGCATCGAACGATAGCGATCGCCATTCACCGTAACGTTGCGTCCAACAGCATCTTTGAAAAAATACGGTCCAATGATTCCACCAGCGTACAAACCACACCAAACAGTGCATTTTTCGGGATGCATGGGCAGTTCTTGAACGGCTTCTGGTTGCTCTTCACTCCAAATGCGGCAATTTTGCTTATTTACGAAGCCATTCAACCAGAAATGAGCCTCATCGCTGAACAAAATTTGTCGATAAAAAAGCGGATTTTCACATTTCGAACCGAACACTGATTTTGGTAATAAAATTCAATGATTTGCAAGCGTTGCTCGTTAGTAAGTCTATTCATGATGAAATTTCAAAGCATACTGAGCATCTTTCTCTTTGACACCATGTCTGAAATCCCACGTGATCTGTCAAATACTAATGCATGAAAATCCTAACCTCAAAAAAATCACCCGTTATCTATACGGCTAAGACCACCTTGTTAAATACGCCTTAGTACGATCGATGATAAAAACATAGTAAGGTGAAAAAATTAAATTGTTCAAAATTTTGGGTTGACTTTAGTGTACATCGACAAGTGTGTGTTTTAGCAAAACTATCGCGAATTTTTCTATGAAACTTTACGAGGATAATAAGAAACAGATATCGTTATACGAGCTTTGCAATGTTCTCGTGTATTTTGTATACATTAAAAGTATTTTATTTTATGTTTTAACAATACAAAACGCGTTTAGTAATTTCACTACTTTTGTTTAACAAAGTAAACAAGCAAAGAAATCAAAATGGCTGTAATGGTGAACAGAAAGGTGCTACCAGATGTTTGAAAATTAAATACACTAAAATGAAGGGATGTTCAATAATCTACTTTTGTTTCACAATTATCTCGATAATATTAAGGTATAAATGAGTATAATGTGTTTTTTAAAATTTGTCAAACAGTGAGCTCTGCGAAAAAGGTGAACGGCCCTTCTTCTACGGCAGCACAGATAGGAGAATTCTACTGAGTGAGGGTTATAATCCCTAAGCGCGGCCGCAGGTCTCCTACGCAGAAAGATGTTCTCTGCAAAAGGTGTTCAGCGCCTCTTCGCGCGATTTTTTATTACAAATTTTCGCCAGTGGCGCTATGTTCTTTTGTAATAAAAACCAATATTTTATAAAACCTAAAAATGGATTAATCGTCTAGCAGCACCAACCTCGCTGTTCAATTGCAACCATTTTATAAATCTTTTATCGTAATTAAATTGTTTTTGTTTATCGGCCTTCAAATTGTAAACTGATGTCGACCGGGCACAACTAAGAGTTCCTGAAGATGACTTCAGATTGAGGTCGAAATATCGATATTAAAAATTAAAGAACTAAAACCTGTGTTTTATGTATTCTCTAGGCCTCGAGCTTATAAAATAAAAATAAAAATAACATCAGTTTGTAATTAAATTAAGAAAAATATGCTATTACTTAAAAGAAAATGGTGATGTGCAATAAAATTGTTTATAATTATTCTCCAAAATTTTTGTGGTTTGAGAATGTGTGTGAGTTTGTGAGTAAATTTTAAAATTAAAATGCTTGAAACCGTCAAAAATGCTAAAATCGTATCTCAGCGGTTCTACGTTACTATATTTTTGTCATAGTACAATCCTTGAAACTTTGCCGGTCAAGTGACGGATCAAATTTCTGAAACTGATATTTACCCGATACGCGACAGGAAAAAGTTCTTCTCCTTCCACTGCGTCAAATATAGCATCCAAGGTTTCCTGAATACCATCACGTCCACGCATTTTTCCATTGTGCTGTACTACAATTTGATGCCAAACAAATCCTTGAGCCATCACTTTTGGATCATAAGAGCTACATTTTGAGTAGGTTTGCGTGTTTTTGTAGTTTACCTCAATGGGTAGATTGTTCGGAAAGTGATACACATCGTCTAGAATTGAATCAAATATTACCTCAACTCATATATGTAATACTTCTATATTGATAGTAACCTATCTTCACAATGTGTTTTTATTCCGCAATCAAAGCGAGACAGCCTATCAAATAAATGTTCGATTGTGTTAGTATAAATGAATCCTACTGGGAAAATAGGTAAGCCCCTTACGAGGTAAGCCATGTTTTCTTTCAGTTTTTAGTACCAAAATTGTCATTATGACCAAAGTAATCTACTAGTAAAGCACAAAATGAACACTTCCGACGACGACATTACCTTGTCAGTTGCAAAATAACGTGCCGCCGAACTTATTACCAAGCGCCGAACTACTCCGAGACTGCTTTACATTCTACGTAACTTACTTTGTAAAGCGGCTCAGAAGTATGTATGTCTGATACCAAATGTACATTCTAAATTCCTACTTACATAAGGCGGCCACGTCTCTGTTAAAGTAATTGAGATTCGGCAGGGAGGTGGGAAGGGCCGCCGGGTGAAGTGCAACACCTTACCAGCAACTTACACTTCACCCGGCGCACACTGGGGCTTCTTCATAGACGGCGATGCTCAAAACTCATTTTTCGAAAGTTGGTATTTAAGAGGAAAAATATATATAGTCATAACAAAGTAGCCAATCTCGTATATAAACATTGGGTTCCGAACTATTATTAGTTGCCGCGTACAACAGCTCAAAGTTAACTTTTCAGTCAGAAAATTTTTTTTCCGATATCGAAAGCGAGTTCATATGTGTTATTAAAGGCTGTCTTATTATGTTTAAGGTTACTATTAGTTTAGAAGGAACTATGTCGTTGAATAAGCAATGTGTGCTGATTGTTTTACAACTTTACATCATTACATAATTTCAATGGTTTCTGAGATATAAGGAACAAATTTTAATAAAAAATTTTTTTTCATAGTGAGTTTTTAAATTCGTTTTTTCCAAAATGCGCAAGGTTCTTTTTCCGAATGTTTTTTTGTTATAACCGCAAGTTTTTATATATAAGTAAACTTAAAAGATTTGCACAAGAACGTTGCGCATTTTTGAGAAAAATATGTTTTAACGTGAACTTATTAATTTTTGTCAGGCACATTTTGTCATTATTTTATCAAAAATATGTTGCAAGTGGGAGTGCTTTAAGAAAAATTCAAACTAAATAGAAGAGAATGGTATATACCGTATGTATTTATTCTTTATTTCAATACTGTTAACTTTTATTCCAGACAGAACCCTTTTATCCATTAAAAATCGGGATTTGTGTGAAATATCTTTTAAAAGCCCGTCTAAATTACTACAATGCAAGTTCAGAGATGTGGAACAATGGGCCTTATGCATAAAAAGTGAGCTTAAGCTCAGACTCAATTTTTGCATTGAAAGGGTGAGCTCAAGCTCAAGAATTTGTACTGAAAAACGAGTCGGAGCTTAAGCTCACTTTTTATGCATGAGGCCCAATATATTTCAAGCCAAACCAGCTGCCCAGCTTCGGAAAGAAAGAAGTTGCAAATATGTTTGCGCCATTTCAAGAGCTACATTACCTTAAAATGGATCAGATGCGGTAGACACAAAAATGGATTTTATGAATCGGAAAAAACGAGGTTAGAAAAAACTTGTCAGATTTGTGGTGTATCAGATACCTAAAAGAGGAAGGCCCACTAAAGACTTTGGGGAATTAAGTGACCAGTCAAAACGTAGGAAAACTGCCTTGCTTCGTCAAGATTATTTCCACGTTCGCAGCGCAAATGAGCCTGCGAGCTAGTGGAAAGCGCAGTGAAGCTAAACAAGTTATCGACACTATTAATCCCCCATCTGAAGAAACGTCTCTGAACTGCCGCATGTTTTTTTTCGAATCGCGAAATAAAGATTTCAATGCGTATCGTGAACGTTTTAGCCGAAAAACTTCAAGGAAAACTAACCTTGAAGATGTATTTCATCGTCTACTTTATTCTTCTGATCCTCATATTAGAACACGAAGTGACTTATTGGAAATAGTGGATGATCTGGGTTTATTATTATTATTTATTATTATTCTCTAAACATCTACATATTTTTCAATTTAACAAGAAACACATTTTTTTGAACAGTGTTAGTGCACAAAATAATGAAATAATATTATAAAAATAACATTATATTGCCGTTTTAGATGTGTCTTCGTAGTTTTCAGGGGAAAAACCCGGTTACAGACTTTTGAGCACCAACTTGTATGAAGCGGCCCCATTGTGCTGTGGTCCTTACCACTTCCCTCACGAATCTCCATTACTTTAAGAAAGACGTGCCCGCCTTATGTAAGAAGGTATTTAGAATGTACATTTGGTATCAGACATGCTTCTGAGTCGCTTTACAAAGTAATGGTGATTTCGTTTCTACCAAAAAATTAGCCTTTTGATTGCCCCTTTCTCTTCTCGTGTTCGATTCTAAACTAAATATTCGTTTCTTAAAATGTCACGCTTTTGTAAGGCAAAAAAGGCTCATTCTGTGCCCTTTGAAGCTTTGTCAGTGGGGGTGGAATACAGCCGCTGTGACTATCAGGTCACGGAAATTGACTTCAATCGAAACTTCGATATCCATTTTCCTGACAGAAGTGACAGGGAATTTAATGTTGCTCTCAGCGATGACGAAATACCAATCTTCACGGACGGCTCCAAAATGGATATCGGAACAAGATCTGGGGTCTTCTCTCAGGAGTTATCTCTGAGGGAATCGTATAGACTCCCAGACCACTGCAGTTTTTTCAGGCTTAGATATATGCAATCCATATGGCGGCAAGGTTGGTGGGCATAATTGACTTAGCTCCATCTAAACTTGCCTTCGTTGTTGACAGTCAGGCGGCTATCAAAGCCTTAGGGTAGGCAACGACTAACTCGTTATGCGTTAAAGAATGCCGAAGATCCCCACAAGCTCTACAGCAACACATAATCAATCTTTACTGGGTACTGGGACATTGTGGTGCCCCGGGAAATGAGGAAGCGGGCGAATGTGCTAGGAAGGGATCTGAGATGGGGCTCGGGGAAGCGACCCAAATCGTGAAACCCCCCCTGCGATTTCTGACTTCAGAAGTCGAGAGACTGGCCGGGGCAGCTACCAACAGTAGGTGGGTAAACCTTCATACCTGCAGGGTATCGCGACCACTCTGGCCACGGCTCGATGAACGAAGAACAAGGAGTCTATTAAGGCTTTCAAATTCAAACGTCAGGCTTCTCACAGGAATACTAACGGGACACTGGACCACTGGCCACATGGCCGCCAGGTTCGGAGCCCCGCATAATGATTTCTGTAGAAGCTGCAGGGATTAGGAGGAGTTAGAATCCGTCCAGCACTTCCTTTGCGAGTGTCCAGCACTTCGAGGAAAACGCCTCAAGTTTCTTGGGGACCACTTCTTCGAGAATCTGGATATCTCGGGGAAAGCTCCTCTGGAAGGACTGCTAGGATTCGACAGAAAATCAAAATGGTTCGAAGACATGTAGGGATAGGCTTGGGGTAACCCCCATGGGCATCACAGTGGGCCTCTGCGGCCTCCGAGTGAACTCTTTTTCAGAGCTGCCCGTTTAACCTAACCTAACCTAACCTTCCCACTGAAGCGGCGGGACTCGCAGGCGAGCGTGATCGAATCCGCCAGGCTAATCCAGGGGATCCCCGCATAAGAGATCTCAATAGAGACATTAGAAACCTGGTCAACGAACACAAGCGGAATACATGGAATGAGCATATAAAAACCTGCAACCTCTCAAGCGGAGCCAGCAAACTGTGATCCACAGTCAAGTCTCTCTCCAATCCGACGAAGCGTAGGGACAATGTCGCTCTCACCTTCGGCACCACCACCACGTCGGATCCGCGGTCGTGCGCGCGCTTCTTCAGCCTTCAATTCATTGCACACCCAGAGAGAAACAAAACCCGCCGCAGCGTGCTGCGTAAAGCACACAAACTCCGCCCCCGAGACACACCACTGTGCTTTACCACCGAAGAGACGCAGGCAGCTGTCAACCACGCCAAGTCATCCAAGGTGTTAGGACCAGACGGAATTTCCATGCAGATGCTGAAAAAGCTAGGACCTGCGGGAGTCGAGTATATGACCGCCGCTTTCAATTTGTCACTGTCCACCCTGATCATCCCCGAGATGTGGAAAATGGGTAGGATCATTTCCCTACTCAAGCCAGGGAAGAAGGCGGACGCAGGAGACTCGTACAGACCCATCTACCTCCTATCCCCAATGGCAAAAACCATGGAAGCACTACTCCTCCCCAGCCTGACGAAGCATCTGAAGCTAGCCAAACATGGATTCCGGAAAATGCACAGCACGCAACAGCATTAAACACCATTACCACACAGATTAGCGAGGGTCTGAACCATGGTCGACCCTGTGATAAGACGGTCCTAGTCGCTGTGGACCTGTCGAAGGCATTCGACACGGTGAACCAAGCGACCCTCTGCCAAGACGTCTTGGACTCGTCGCTTCCAGCTCGGACAAAACGGTGGATAACCAGCTATCTGTGTCGTCGTCAGTCATCAGTCGAATTCCGAAACGCCAAGTCTAAACCGCGTAGAATTAAACAGGGGGTCCCCCAAGGCGGCGTACTCTCCCTGACACTGTTTAATCTCTACATGGCACAACTCCCTCCGCCGCCAGCAGGAGTAAACTTGGTAAGCTACGCTGATGACCGCACTATAATGGCAACTGGCCCAAACATCGACAGACTTTGCGACCAAATAACCGACTATCTCACCGATCTCTCCAATTTCTTCACTGCAAGGAGCCTCCAAATCTCTGCCGCTAAATCCACCGCCACACTCTTTACAACCTGGACCAAGGAGGTGGGGCTAGAACTGGACGTCTTCGTCGATGGCGTCAAAATACCGACGACTAATCACCCTAAAATCCTGGGAGTGACGTTCGATAGCCTCTTCTCCTTCTCCGCGCATGCCACAGCCACATGCAACAAACTCCGAGCCAGGAACAAAGTCCTAGAATCCCTAGCCGGCAGCACCTGGGGAGCCAATAAAGAAACTC